AATCCCTGGGTAAGTGTCCAGGTATGGGGCTGGGACCGCTTGCTCCTCAGGGGGTACCTCTGCAGCCAGGATACCCCTCCTGATTTTTATCCATCACATGTGGGTGTGTGACTAGCCTGTTCAAAATCTCTGCCCCTTCTACCAGTCTCAGTGTGGCTTCTTCTGTATATTCCTACTTATAGAACTTCTATTCAGCTAAATTTCAGGTGGTTTTGAATGATGGTTGCTCTTAAGTTTAGTTGTAATTTTGTTTGTTTGTTTTCCCACAGTTTTTTATTGAAACCTTTTATTTTGAAATATCTAGATGCATATGCAATTGTGAGCAGCAACATAGATCCCATGTGCCCTGCACCCAGTTTTCCTGGTGAACCAGAGCCAAGGCTACCACCAGGATCAACCCTACCTTTTTAAAAAACACACAATAAACACTCAGATTCATCAGAGTTAATGATACAAAATATGCAAGTACAAATTGTTGCATTTTAAAGGCTAATTTCCCTGAACTCCCTCAGCCAAAATATTTGGCTACACTAACCTATTTTTTTTTTAGTAAGTTGTATGAGTGCCTTATATATTTTGGATATTAGCCCCTTATCAGATATATAATTTATGAATATCTTTTTCCATTCAGTAGGTTATCTTTTCATTTTGTTGATGGGTTCCTTCACTGTGTAAAAACTTTTTAGTTTGATGTAGTCTTTATTTTTTCTTTTGTCTCCCTTGCTGGAGGATATATATCCAAAAAGATTGCTGAGACTGATGTGAAAGAGCTTACTGCCTATGTTTTCTTCTAGTTTTATGGTTTCAGGTCTTACATATAAGTCTTTGGTCCATTTTCAATTTTTTTGTATATGGTGTAAGATAGTGGTCCAGTTTTAATTTTTTTTGTGCTTTCCCTCTAATATCAGAAATAAGACAAGGATGACCACTATCCCCACTTCTGTTCAACATATTGGAAGTCCTAGCCACAGCTATCAGACAAGAAAAAGGATAAAAGTCATTTGAATCGGAAAAGAAGTAAAACTATTTGCAGATGTCATGATAAAAAACCCTAAAGACTCCACCAAAAAACTATTAGAATAGTTAATAAATTTAGCAAAGTTGCCAGATACAAAATCAATTTACAGAAATCTATTGCATTTCTATACACTGGTAACAAACAATCAGAAGAAATTTAAGAAAATAGTCCCAAATACAATTGCATTAATAGCATAAAATACCTAGGAATAAATTTAACCAAAGAGGTGAAATACCTGTACTCTGAAAATTGTAAGACATTGAAGAAGAAAATTGAAGAGGATACAAACAAATGGAAGCATACACTATGGTTATGGATTGTATAGATTAATGTTGTTAAAATATCCTTACTACCTAAAGCAATAGCCAGATTTGTGACAATCCCTATTAAAACATCAATGGTGCCCTGCCTGGTGTGGCTTAGTGGATTGAGTGCCATCCTGTGAACCAAAAAGTTGCTGGTTTGAGTCCCAGTGCAGGGCACATGCTTGGGTTCCTAGCTTGGTCCCCAGTAGGGGGCATGTGAAATGCAACCACACATTGATGTTTCTCTCCCTCTCTTCCTCCCTTCCCCCCCTCTAAAAAATAAATAAAATATTTTAAAAAAATCAATGGTATTCAGAACTAAAACAATTAATCTTAAAATTTATATGGAACCACAAAAGTCCCTGGATAGCCAAAGATGTTGAGAACAATGTGGGAGGTATCATGCTCCCTGATTTCAAAGTATGCTACAAAGTTACAATAATAAAAACAGCATGGTACTAACATAAAAACAGACACATAGATCAATAGATCAATGGAACAGAATAGGGAACCCAGAAATAAGTTCTTGATTATAAGGTCAATTAATTTACAACAAAGAAACAAAAATATACAATGGAGTAGACAGTCTCTTCAATAAGTAGTGCTGAGAAAACTGGACAGATACATGCAAAAAAGAACATTATTTTGTCGTCAGACCTGTGTTCAAATTCAAGTTCTGCATGGCCAGCTCTATGATTTGCAGCAAGATATTTACTTTTTCTGCTTAAAAAAAGGGGATGGTAGTGGGGACGGGGCTAATGATACACATTTCATAGGATTAGAATAATAAATATGTCTTAAATTGCTTAGGCCAGTGCCTGTTGTGAAATTATTAATCACTAGAATGTCAGCTCCATGAGGATAGAAATTTGGGGCTCTTGTTCACTGCTGTGTCCCCACGCGTAGATCAGTGCCTGGCATATAGCAGTTCCTGGCTCAGTAAATATTGGTTGAAAGTCTAAATGGTTCATTGGTTCCCTGTACAAGTGTTCTATGCACCAGAGATACAGTAATAAACAAAAGAGATCAAGAAATCCCAGCCTTCTTGGGGCTTACATTTTAGTGACAAATACTTCTAGTTGTCTTTAATAGCAAATATTCTTCAATAAAGTATTTCTGAAAGAGCCAAAATATAAAATAGATAAAATGGTGAGTGTGAGCTCAGATTGAAGAGAAAGTAGGAACATCTGTACTGTCTGGTTATTTGGTCCAGTTTTCCACTTACCCAAATCCTGGTTTGGGGAGCACAATCTAAAAGTCACTGCTTTAGACAACTTGTGATTGGAAATAACATTAAATTTCTCTCACAGAGCTAGCCGTTTTCCCTCAGAGTTTTAGAAATGGGTGTCACTTCTGGAAAGCATACGCCACTGACTGGTTAGATACCTTTCTTCTTAGTACCCATGGCACTCTGTTCTGTCTGCATCCTGGTACTTAGTAGGCCCTCAACTCATATTCGTTGGACTAAAATTGAGTCAGTGATTAAAAGCTTTAGATAGTTCAGAGTCTCAACTCTTACTTTCTTTAAAGCTCAAATGTACTTCTTTTCTGCTTGGTTGTTTGGGTATGTTGTTTAATTTCACATAAATTGTTTTAGTCTCTTGGAAAATTGCAAGGTTGCCAACAAAATTGCATCAGTTTGGGCAGGGACTGGAAGTCATTCTGCATAGGAGGTAGCAGTCATTATAAACTCCATAGGAAATGGAGCCGAGTGCTCAGTTATTCTGAGAGGTATTGTGGCTGTAAGACTTTTTCTTTGCCCTGGATGGGATTTCATTGTCATCAGTCAATATGAGGTGAAGCACACAGGCTTGTATATTTTGAAAACACTCTCCAGGTCATTGTGATTTATTTTCCTAGTGTTGTAAGAGCCACCATGTTAGTTAAAAATTACTAGTCCTTGGCTTTCTGGGATTGAAATCACTTGGATGGTGACATAATTAGCTTTATACCAGATAAAAGTAATGTGTTATAGTTGAAAGAACATGGCCCTTGGTTTCAATCTCACCCAGATTTCTCTTTCTCAGTTCTGTGGCCCTGAGCATGACACCTCACTTATCTAAGCCTCAGTTTTCTCATCTGTAAGATGGAGCTTATAAAACCTACATAGTTAGGTTACGATGATGGGGAATATATCACACTTAGCATTATGCCTGGTACAGGGTAGGGATGCTCAATCAGTAACTTGTAGGAGAGATGTGCTGGAAGAAATTATCACCAGGGGGCAGCATAAAACTGTACTACACTAACCCATATGGAGTTAATCATAACTCTTGGCTTAACTATGTTGCAGTGCAAAGTAAGATTTCTGGTTCCTTTGCCTGGATATCAAACACAGACCTTGCTTTGCTGTCTGCTTACCAGTATCCCACCCCTTGTATGACTTAATATGTGACACGACTATTTACGGTGACTAGACGCTCTTTCCATAGCCTAGCAAAAGCTTAATGCATTGAAACTCCTGCCAGACTCCAAAAACTACCATTCCTTTACAACTTAAATACAGAAATAAGTCAATTGGGTTCAAGAAAATTATCAAGGTCCATAGGCTCTAGAGCCAAAGTCCAGGTTTATTAGTGCCTTCCAGCAATGTGACCTTAAGGATAGTAATGTAAAATGGGTATAATAATAGTAGTTTTGACCTTATAAGATTGTTTTGAGTATTAAATGAGTTAATGCATATAAGGTACTTGGAACATTGCTTAGCACGTAGTACATGTTCAGTACCTGTTAGCCATTTTTATTCACATTACTGTGTTCCAGGTCTTATGTGGGAGTCAGGAATACAGAGATAAAATCTCTGTGATCAAGGAAGTGAGTGTGATGGAACCACTGTGCAGATCATTTCAGTGTGCTCTAAGTGCGGCTGTAGAGGCATTGCAGAGGAAGGGCACTTAACCGTCTGCCTCTGTTGCATAAAATATAGTGCTCTCCTGGAGGAAGCCTGGTATAATGGAAAGTGTGTATCTCATGTCAGATCAGCTTTAGTTTGAATCCTGTCTCCACGCACTCATTATGTAACTAGGGGCAGCCAACTTCATGCAGCATTAGTTTTCCCATTTCTAAAAATGGGATGAATTTTTGGGGCCCCCCCTCCACATGTTGGAAGTGCCATCACATGGCAGGAGTGCTGTCTGAGGTGTTCCTAAGAAAGAAAGCAAGGATTTTTTAAAAGAAAGTTAGATGAACTTAGACTCAGATTCTAGCTATATGTTGTTTAACCTTTCTGTGTCAATTTTCACGTCTAAGTTTTTTCATTCATAATCTACCTACCTTGCCCGTGGTTGTTCTGACAATGAGTTAATTTATGTCTAGTATATGGGGCATATACAGGTGCTAAGAAATAAATCATAGCTTCATTATCTTTCTAACGAAGGTCTCTTTTGTTATTGTTTAAAGTAAAACTTATATACCATATTAATTTCATTGTTCTTTTAAATATGCTTAGGCCTCAGGTTCATGAAAGGAGCCAAAAAAGACTGGGCATTTGAGTGAACACATAGATAATTCTGCCCACATTTACAGTAGAGGCTTTTTTTTTTAAGAGTGTTCTGTTCAGTCTCATATAATCTTAAGTTTCAACAAACTATAAAATTCAGTTACTAGACTTCCTGACTTCTAACCAAATACAGGTTGGCTTGTGTTGCATGACCTATTCTTCTCTTCTTCTCTCCTAGGTCTTTCAGAGCCTTGAAGACCACCATTTGGAAGTGGTGGCTTTTTTCAGGGAAAATGGCTTCCATGGCCTTCTTGCCCATGACTCCGAGTATGCTCTCTACAATATTCCGTTTTACTACAGTTCCCATGCTCTGAAGCTGAGCTGGAATGGGAAGAACCTCACTACCAACCAGTTCCTGATGCAGGAGGTGGCCAAGCAGCTGGGCCTGAAGCGGGTGAATTTTCCCATATTTGCTGCGCTGCTAGGTAGGTAGTCCACAGAACAGACATCAGTGATTAGTTAAATTTTTCTTTCCAGTGTTAAGAGATGAAGACCAGAGCCACTTAGCTTATCATTATTGGTTCTGAAAGTCTTCATGACAAATACTGTGCTTCTGGGTTTCTTATTAGAAACTTAGCATGTGTGTCTTATGAATTAATACAGGATATTCTAGAACATTATTTTAATTCTTGTGAACTCTTTTATTATACTCCATAACTATTTTATGCGGAGTACTATCTTAAGCCAAATGTTTTACTAGCCCTAGACAGGTTTCCCACTCAGAACATTTCCCCAGCGTCTAAGCTTAGATCAAGAACACAAATTGCTGTTTTCCTTTTTGCTTCTGCTGTACTAACATTTTATGATGAAAATTTCTGAACATACCACAAACTTGAAAGAATTTTGTAGTGAAAAATCCTGTATCTATCGCCTGTTTTCTGCCATTAACATTTTATTATACTTGGTTTATCATTTATCTATCCATTCTAGCCATCTATCTATCTTTTAAAGACATATTTCAAAGGAAATGACAGAGAGTTCATTACGTTTTGAGTTATTTTTGCAAGTATTGACAGCATGAAGGTTAATATCTTGTCTCAGGTGTGAACTCTGTTTATTATCCCAAAGGAGTTGAGCTTGGGTAATCTAATAAAGTCAGCACAAGTTTTGGAATTAGGCCTTGGGCAAATCACTGAAGTTTCAGTCTCCTTCTCTGTGAAAGGGAATACTGCCTCATGATACTGATAAGATCAAATGAAAGGAGATCTATAAAATGCCCAGCACTTATTAGGCAGGCATAACTGGTGATTGCTATAATAAAAGACAGGGTGACTAGGTGATAGAAAATAGTATGGGCTTTGGAGTCAGACAGTCCTTAGCTTCTTATCCTGGTGTGGGCACTTATTAACCATACCACCCTAGGCTATCATCAAACTTGTCCAAACCTCAGTTTCTTTATATGTAAAAGGGGGAAAATAATACTACCATTATGAAGATGATACATATAATGCATGTGATACACAGGGAATCAACACGTAGCTACTGTAGTCATTATATTAAGAATATTGACCTATGTAGATTATTGATCATTTTCTCTCCCAGAAGCCCTTTCATGCCCTGGAGGTTGTAAGATACAATCCATAAATGACAAATGTACTTTGTAGGTAACCACATTCTCCCAGATGAGGACCTGGCTGCTTTTCACTGGAGCCTCTTGGGACCAGAACATCCCCTTGCATCACTTAAGGTAATGTGCCCCATTTCTTTTGTTTTATTTTTAAGATTTTATTTATTTTCAGAGAGAGAGAGGGATAGAGGGAGAAAGAGAGGGAAAGAAACATGGATATGAAAGAGAAACATTTTGCATGTCCCCAACTGGAGACTTGGCCTACAAACCAGACATGTGCCCCAACTGAGAATCGACCTGGTGACCTTTTGGTTTGCAGGCCGGTGCTCAATCCACTGAGCCACACCAGCTGGGGTCACGTTTCTTGTGTATATATCCATGTCTAGGGGACATCACGTTTTGATTGGAATTTTGATAGAATAATTATCTTTTATTAGGTTTAAAATATTCCAAATACAGACAAAAACTTATAATTATGACCAATACCCCTTAAAAAGGAAAAATTCAGTTTTCCACCTCTTTATAGGGGAAAACCCAGTTCTTTCCTCCTATGTCTTTCTTTCCTGTGTGTCTCCTTTACTTTCACACTACTACCATACCCACACAGAGTACATCACTTCTGATACTTCTGGTCACCAACTGTGTGGGGGATTTTCCCCACATCAAGCAATTATCTGCAATAGCAGCTGAGTATCCTACAACTGAACTCAGTTTTGACATAACCTGCCTCAAGATGATATCAGATTCACAGGTTAAGGGCTAAGTCCCACAAAACTGCCCCACCCCACTTCAGACACCAGTTGTAATCCCAGGTTATCACCTGTGCTTCTGACCAACCCACTATAGATTGGGGGTTTCCACAATCCCTGCCCCTTGGGTCTGTTTAATTTGCTAGAACAGCTCACAGAACTAATAGAAACTTACTTATATTTACCAGTTTATTAAAGATATGATAAGAGATACAAGATAAACAGCAAGGTGAAGAGATACATAGAGTGAGGTCTGGGAGGGGCCCTAGCTCAGGAGCTTCTGTCCCCCTGGAGTTGGGGTGCCTTATCCTCCCAGGTTAGATGTGTTCACCAACCCAGAAGCTCTCCGAACCCCATGCTTTTGGGATTTTATGAAGGCTTCATCATGTAGGCATGATCAGCCACTAAGTCCATTTTCAGCCCTTCTTCTTTCTCAAGAGAATGGAATTGGGGCTAAAAGTTCCAAATTATTAATCATGATAGTGTTTCCAGTGACCAGCCCTAACCCAGGAGCCATTCAGAAGTCTACTCACAGTCAGCTCAATAGAACAAGAGATGTTCCTGGTGCCCTTACCACTTAGGATATTTCAGGGGTTTCAGAAGCTCTGTGCCAGGAACTGGAGGCAGAGACCAATATGTATTTTTCATTATCCCACATCCTTAATAGCTTAAGGATTTATACAAACCTATGCAGAAAGATACTAATGCCCCAATAAATGAACTGATGAACAAAGGACAGAAACAGACAATTCACAAAAGATGAAATAAAGTGGCCAACAGTGTGACTAAATGTTGAACCTCACACGTGATCAGACATGCAGATTAAATGAACGGGTGATATTTTTAAAAACTCACAGTTGATCTCACCTATAAGCAGAACCTAACCAACAAAACAAAGATGCAAGGAAAATATGACCAGCAACACTGAAAGAGAAAAGAAATCAACAGAGACGAGAGGGAAGGAGGGAGAGGTGGGTGGGGAAAGGGAAGGGAAGGGTCAAGTCAAGGAACATATAGCAAGGACTCTTGGACAAAGCCAAAGCGGGGAAGGATTGAGGGAGGGAGAGTGCAGAGCGAGGCAGGGGAAAGTGGTGGGGAGAATGTGGAGACAAATGTATTTGAAAAAATAAATTAATTTTAAAAAAGAAAGAAAAGAAAAACTAACAGTTGAGTAAATATTTAAAAAATAATGTAGCCTTTTCTATCAAGTCTATGGTGAGATTGGTACTCTTCATACACTTCTAATGGAAGTGTAAGTTGGTGATTGTATTATATTTCTCTAGTTCTTTTATTCTCCTAGACAGTTATTTTACACCTTTTCTTCTCTCCTCAAGCCTCTAATGCCCCCTCTGCCTTGTTCACCCTCAGCTCATGACCTGGCTTCCTATTTCACTGAGACAATTGAAGCAATGGGAAGAGAACTTCCTCCACCTCCCACCATTTTATCTTCTTTCCTGCATGACCAAAATGCTCTGTGCCCAAATGCTCTGCCTGCCTCCTGTTAACTGTGGATGACCTGTCCATGTTCCTTTCTAAGTCCAACCCCTCCACTCTAACACTAGATCCCATCCCCTCTAGCTAACTTAAGGGCATCACTTCTTCAGTTCTCCCCTCTTTCTTTTGCCTCAATTTCCCTCTCTTCACTGGCTCTTTCCCATCAGATGTATAAGCAAGCACTCATCTTAAATAAGACAAAACCTGCTCTTGACCTCACTCCCTTCACCCAAGCTACTGCTCCATAGTTCTTCCCTTATATCAAATTCTCCTGGACAGTTGTCTATATTTCAACTGTTTACTATCCTCATTCCCTGTTCTTGTTTCAACCTGCTTTGCTGAAATTGCTCTTGACAAAGTCTCCAGTGACCTTGATGTTAATAAATCCAATGGCCAGCTCTGTTTTTGTCTTACTTGACCCCTCAGCAGCATATGACTCAGATGCTTACTCCCTCTTCCATAGAACATGTTCTTCACTTGGCTTTAAGGACACCCCTCTCTTCTGGTTCCTTTCTCCTTCACTGGCCATTGCTTCTGTCTCCTTTGCTGCTTCCTTGTCTTCTTAATTTCTTAACTTTGGACTGTCACAAAGTCCTATGTTTAGTCTTTTCTCTTTTCTGTCTATGATACTGCCTTGGTGATTGATTTCATTTAGTGTCATGACTTTAAATACCATCTATCCAATGATGACTCCTAAATATATGTCTCCAGCTTTAACTTCCCTCTTGAACTTCAGATTCTAATATAACCTAAATATTTCAAAGAAATATGTCCAAATGCAAACTGATCTTTCCCCTAAACCTGTTACTCACATAGTCTTCCCCATTTTCATTAATTGCAACCCATCCTTCTATTCGCTTGGCTCAGAAGCCTTGGAGTCATCCTTGACTTTTCTCTCTCTCATGCTCCATACCTCCTCTGTCAACAAATACCATCAGTTTTCCTTGGTACTACCCTGGTCAAACCACCATTCTTTCTTGCCTGGATTATTATAATAGCTTATTAATCATTGGTTTTCTGATGGCACTCTTTCCTGCTACCCCTTTCTCCCAAGTCCATTCTCAATACAACTACCAGAGTGATTCTTTTTAAAACTGGCTCAGCTCATGTCACTTCTCTATTCAAAATTCTCCAGTGATTTTTTTATGTCATTCACCCAATCTTTACCACGGCCTGCAAAGCCTTGTACTATCTGAACCCCTGTTACAGCTCTGATCTCACCTTCCCTTTTCTTTTGCTCTTCAAACCTTTGCACTTACCATTCCTTATACTTGGAAGGCTTTTTCCTCCCCCACAGCTATTTCCTCACTCCTAAAGTTTTTTGCAAATGCCGTTTTCTCAGTGAGGCCTTTCTTGATCACCCAATTTAAAATTTTGTGCAGGTGCACACATATACACTCACTAGCATTCCTTAGCCCCTTTCTGCTTAGATTTTCTCCATAACACTTATCTACATCAAGCACACTATATGTTTACTTATTTATTCTGTTTGTTTGATTCTCTTCAGCACATCCCAACACACCTACACTAACTCCCATGAGGGCAGCAGTTTATATTTATTTTGTCTGTACCCCTGGTGCCTAGAATAGTGCCTACCACACAGTAGGTAGTACATATTTGTTGAAGGAATGAATGTTACATCCTTTTGCCTAAATCATTCACATAAAAATTCTTTGAGAAGTTGATACCTTTTGGTTCAGTAATTGCCATTTTAGGAAGCTTGTAATTAAATAATTGGAAAGTATGCTACAAATTATACCTATATTTTTCCACAGCATTAAAAAACATTTATTTAAAAAATTTTCAAGCATCACAAAATTAGGTAAAATAATATAATTATATAGTGAGCTACCATTGTAATATCTTCCAGCTGCAATAATTATAAGATTTGGCCACACTTGCATGGGTTACTTTGTTGCTGTTGCTAATGTATTGTATTTTATTGATTACACTATTACAGGTGTCCTGATTTTTCCCCTTTTGTCCCTCTCCACCCAGCACCCCCACTCCCTCAGGCAATCCACCCACATTGTTCATGTCCATGGGTCATGCCAGTACGTTCTTTGGCTACTCCATTTCCTGCACTGTACTTTATATCCCCTTGGCTATTCTGTAATTACCTAATTGTACTTCTTAATCCCCTCACCTCTTTACCCATTCTCCCCCTCCTCCCTCCTATCTGGCAACCTTCCAGTAACTTCTCTTGCTTTTAAGAGTCTCTCTTTATCTTTAACCTTTGGCCTTTTAATAACAGTGTGTCTTGGAGTGAGCCTCTTCACATCCATCAAAATTGGGACTCTGTGCACTTCCTGGACTTGCATGTCTGTTTCCTTCACCAAATTAGGGAAGTTTTCTTTCACTATTTTTTCAGATAGATTTCCAATTTCTTGCTCTTTCTCTTCTCCTTCTGGCACCCCTATGATGTGAATGTTGGACCTCTTAAAGTTGTCCCAGAAGCTGTTTATATTATCCTCATTTTTTTGGATTCTTCTTTCTTTTTGTTATGTTGTGTGGTTGTGTTTTTGCTTCGTTATGTTCGAAATCATTGATTTGATTCTCAGCCTCATCGACTCTACTGTTTTTTCCCTGTAATTTGTTCCTATTTCAATTAGTGTATCCTTCATTTCTGATTAGGTCTTCTTTATGCTATTAAGGCCGTCACTAAATTCCTTGAACACCCTTATAACCAGTGTTTTGAATTCTGCGTCTCATAGATTGCTTATCTTCATCTCATTCAGCTCTTTTTCTGGAGTTTTGATCTGTTCTTTCATTTGGGCCATGTGTCTTTGTCTCTTCGTTTTGGCAGCCTCCCTGTGTTTGTTTCTTTGTATGTGGTAGAGCTGCTTTGACTCCATGTCTTGGTAGTGTGGCCTTATGTAGTAGGTGTCCTGTAGGGTCCAGTGGCACAACCTCCCCTATCACCCAAGTTGGATACTCGAGGTGCACCCTTCATGTGGGCTGAGTACACCCTCCTCTTGTAGTTGAGCTTTGGTTGCTGTTGGCAGATCAATGGGAGGGATTTTCCCAGGCCGCTCAGCTGCAAGGACTGGCTGTGACCACTGACCACCAACCTCTGCCCTTGGGGGATCAGCTAGCAGGGGCAGGGTGGTGGTGCTCCCTGTGTGGTCTATAGCTGTCTACTGGGTATGTTGGCCCAGGGGTTTCTCGGGTAGTACAAGCCAAGGTCAGCCCCCACCTGTTTTGCCCTGGGCACCCTGCCTGAGCTGTAAAGCAATTGGAGATGGCTGCTCCTTGTGCTGGACTTGGAGAATCCCAGAGGAAGCCAAGCTGTGACTCTAATCTAGCTGCTGCTAGGGCTCACTGAAACCAGCAGTTGCTTTTTTGATAGGATTTAGGAGCCAAGATCAGCCATTCTTATGGAAAAGCAGCTTGGGTGGGCCCTTAAGTTGGGTGGGGTCAAACCTCTGTGGGTCTCCAAGGTGGGTCACACAGTGTTAGCCAGGTGGATGGAGTCTCAGATATGGCACCAGCCTACCTGCTCTGTGGGGGGAGGGCTCAGCAAAGGGACAATGACCTCTGCTCACCCCGATGCCAGACACTTGAGTCTCCCCATATTCCACTGGTGGCCTTCAGGATGCCACCCCAGTGCTGGAGCTCAGAGGTAATGAGTTCTGAGTAGGTGAGTCCATGTGTGGGTTCCCCAAGAGGAACTGCTTAGTGCTTCAGTGGCCTCCTCTACTGACTGAAGCCCCACTGATTTTTGCAGCCAGAAGTTGTGGGGACTTATCTTCCTGGCACTAGAATCCTGGGCTAGGGGGCCTGGTGTGGGTCTGGGACTCCTTGCTCTTGAGATAGCCCTCTCAAATTTTTATCCACGTGGATGTGGGGCCATCCTGTTCCACATCCACACCCCTCTTACCAGGCTAGATAGATGATGTTCCTGAGTGATGGTTGTTCTATATTTTAGTTGTAATTTTGATGTGGTTGTGCAAAGAGGTAAGCCATGTCTGCCTATGTCACCATCTTTACTGGAAGCATCTCTCGCTAATGTATTTTAAAATAAATTCCGTACCTCAAGTCATTTAACTCCCCACATTCTTTGATGTACATCTCTAAAAATACAAGTATTTTCATACATAATCAAAATGCCATTACTACTCCTGAAAAAGTAATGATAATTTCTTGTCATCATCTTAATATTTGGTCCACTTTTGGATTTTCCTGATTGTCTCAAAAAGCCCTTTTTGTAGTTTGTTCAAATCAGGATTCAAACATGGTCCACATATTACAACATAATCTTTAATAGCAAAAAATTGGAAGCAGCCAAAGTGTTTCATGAGAGAAAACTGATTAATTATGGCAGTGTCATAAATCAGTGGTTATCTCTCTAGTAGGATTATGGATAATATGATTTTACCTTTCTTTAATATTATTCAGTCTTTTCGAAGTATCTTAAACTGAGAATTAGGATGAAAACTATTTTTAAAGAAAAGATTTTAACTGCCTCTCAGTGGATTTAGGAACATATAGCAAGGACTCATGGACACAACCAAAGGGGAAGGATTGAAGGAGGGAGAGCGGGGAGGTGGCAAGGGAAAGTGGTGGGGGGGAAGGCAGAGACAAATGTATTTGAAAAATAATTAATTAATTAATTTTAAAAAATGAATTCTATATTTCACTCCGACCTCACCCTTTTTCTTAAGGCCCATGTCTGATGCCAGTGTTCCTTGCTTACATTAACTCTTCTAGGTCCGAGCTCATCAGCTGGTTCTTCCTCCTTGTGATGTGGTGATCAAGGCTGTTTCCGAGTACGTTAGTTCCATTAAAGACCCCTCTAACCTGGATGTGGTTGGGAAGGATGTTTTCAAACAGTCTCAGGTGAGTTAGCCTCCCCCTTCCTAAGAGTAGCCAGTTTTCTTACCTTCATCAGTACCACCAGCAGATGTGATCTTTCCTGTGTTGGCTACCTTCTCTCCTAGCTGTTTGTCTTCTCTATGCATACAGACCAGAGCCCCAGAGTTCCCTTCGAAAAACATTGCTCGGACTAGATCGAAAGGGTTCTTTACCTTTTCCCTGCTGATTATCAAAGTTATGCAAGCTCATTCTAGAAAAGTCATGCAAAATCCCATTACCCAGAAACAACTTGCTATATCATCACTGGCATATATCCTACTCTTTTTCTTTGTTTCAATGTATATTTTAATATGAAGGATATCTTGCTTATTGGAGAATATTGTGTAATGAAAAAGACTACTTAACATAGGTTCACATAAAACAAGAATCATATTTCATTGTTTATAGTGAAAAAAGAGCTCGACTAGGATTTTTGTCTTGTGAAACTAAAAGTTAGGAGAATAAGTGACTTCTATTTTTAACAATTTAATTTATACTTGTACTCTGAGTTTTTTAGTTTTATTTTCTAAGGTAACATACAGTAAAAGTGACTTTTGTATATATGTGTGTACAGTTCTATGAATTTTTAACACATGTATAGGTTTATGTAATCACCATCACACTTAGGATCTGAACAATTGAACCACTCCAAAATCTCTCATGCTATTCTTTTGTAATCACACCCAAACATATCCCTAACTCCTGGCAACTACCAGTGTATTCTCTGTCACTACAGTTATCTTTTAGAGAATAGCATGTGACTGGAATCATGCGGTATGTAATCTTTGAGAATGGCATTTTTCATTCAACATAATGTCTTTGAGAGTCTTCTGAGTTGTTGCATGTTGCATCCATCAACAATTTATCCATTTTTATTGCCAAGTAGTAAACGTTGTGTGGGTATATCACCGTTTGTTTATCCTTAGATAATATTTGAGTTGTTTCCAATTTTTGGTTGAGCTGCTGTAGGTCTATATGTTGTTTTTTAAATTTTGATTTTATTTATTTTTAGAGAGAGGGGAAGGCAGGGAGAAAGGGAGAGAAACATCGATCGGTTGCCTCTCGCATGCCCTCAACTAGGGACCTGGCCCACTACCCAGGCATGACTGGGAATTGAACTGACGACCCTTTGGTTTGCGGGATGACGCCTAACCCACTGAGCCACACCAGTCAGGGTGTTATATATTTTTGTATGACTATAAGATTTTACTTCCCTAGTGTAAACACCTAGGAGTGGGATTTCTGGGTCACGTGGTAAGTTTATGTTTAACTTTGTAAGACCCTGCCAAACGATTTTCCAGAGTGGTTGTTCCATTCCACATTGGCGCTTATTATTGTCATATTTTTATAGCTATTCTAATATGTATGTTGTGGTAGCCCATCATAATTTCAATTTGTATTTCTCACATGACTAACGATGAACAATTTTTTCTTGTGTTTATTTGCTGTCTATATGTCTTTGGTGAATGGTCTGGTCTATTTGTTAACAGTCTTTTGCCCATTTTTTAATTGTGTTGTTTGTTTAATTATTGTTGAGTTTTGAGAGTTCTTTATATGGTCTGCATACAAATCTTGTCAGATACCTGGTTTGCAAATATTTTCTCCCAGTATGTAGTTTGTCTTTACATTTTTTTGAAACTATGGTACATTATTTTCACATGGACAGTTCAAAGGAAGTTATCAGTAGCTTTTATTTAGAAGAAAACCCACACACAAAAAACAAAACCTTGGGCTTAAAGGAAACCCATCTGTCACTAGAAGCATGGTTGAAAGATTAACATTTTTAAAAGGAAAATACAATACAGAATTCTCTAGAGAACAAAGCAGTTTTAAAATAAAGCTAGTTTGGAGGTCTTATTTCCCTGGCTTAAAGTGATCCGGGGGAGGTATCACAGTGCTAGGCGTAGGGTGATGGTCTAGTGGTCACTGCCCGGGGCCTTGGAAAGAATCTTGCTGTCACACAATGCAGGTAACAGAGTGAGACACCAAAAAGTAATCAAGGTGCCAACCAACATTTTTGGACTGAGCATTCATCATGTAGCTCAAAAAGGTCTACGTAGGCATTGGTCATGTTGGTGTAGAGGAGCTGGGAACTGTCAGCTAGTGGCACAGTCTGCAGCAATTCCCCAAAGTTTCGCCACTCTTTTGGAATAAAGCCAGCATCTTTTTGTTTCCCTTGGGGTTGGGAGGGTCAGTTTCTTCATGAGCCACACTGAGTTTCCTACATTGCACAAAGAGCTTGTGGGAAGTCAGGCCCTTCAGGAACTTGAGAAAGACTTCACCCCAGCACTGCTGGTACTCCAGGTGCAGTAGACCTTGGTCTGCATTAGGTACATAGGCTGTTACCAGCACAAATGCATCAAATTCAGACACAATCACAAATGCATCAAATCTAGCCAGTGTCATGACTTTGAGTGGGCTTTGGCGGGAGATTAGGCCCACACCACTGTACCTTCCTTGTCTGAAGGAGCTGACCAGTACTGCTGGGATAGTCCAGACAGCTCTTGAAGTTCAGCTAGTAGTTTATTCTCTGAACATTTGGTCTCCTGCAGGCACAAGATATCAGGGGCTTCTTCCTTTATCCTATCTAAACCTTTCTTAATCCAAGCTCAAAGCCTATCCACATTCCGGGAGCAGATCTTGAGTTTACCTGTTTTGCCACTGGGTAAGGTTTTCTGATCTGGGGGTGGGTCCTCATACAGGACTGGCACCTCTCCTGCTGCCTCTTTATTATTTTTCTTTGCTCCTAAACCCCAACTTACTCTCCTTTTTTTTTTTTAATTCTCACCTGAGGACATGTTCATTAATTTTTAGAGAGAGGAGAAGGGAGAGAGAAAAAAATCGATGTGAGAGAGAAACATCCATCAGTTGCTTCCAGTACATGCCCCAAACAGGGATGGAACCTGCAACCTAGGCATGTGCCTTGACCAGGAAGTCATTGTCAGATAATTTCAACATGTGTGTTGTGTCAGCATTGGCACCTATTAATTGCCTTTTTTATGCAAGTTAAGATTTTCCTGGTTTTGCCCAGGCCAAGTAATTTTGGATTGGATCTTGGACATTTTAAGTATTATCTTATGGTATTCTTGGCCTTATTTCAATATACTGGGGAATGTTGATAGTTTTGTTTTAGAATGCAATCGACCCACTTTGATTCAGATCACAAGTTCTCACCATCCTTCTGTGGGTGTGGTTTCAATGTCAGTACAAGTTTCAAAGCCTTTGCAAGCCTGTTTGGGTTGGTCCTGTGTGTACGCCACCCAGTGACCAGTTTGGGACTTGGGTTGCGGTTTCTCTCTTCAGTTTTCAGAGTCTTGTTTTCTACTGTTTAGGGTCAGATCATGTGTGTGCTGCTCCTTCTGTGTGCTCTCTTCAGTACTTCACAGATCCTCTTTGCACCCTCTTCAGTACTTAACAGTTCATTGGAACAACCTTTTCCAGTGCTTGGGGCCATGTAGCAGGAGAACAAAGAGAGAAAAAGCATTGAAGGCTCACTGTACCTATTCAGACTACTGCTTCTAGGATTGGAGAGGAAGGTTTCTGTCATTCAGTTTTAGTTTTCTGCTACTTTCCTGTTGCCACTTCTGCCACTACAGGTTTGCTATGGGCTGGCACACATAAGAACAGTAAAAAGAAAAAAAGAAAACAAGGTGTTTCCGTATATTTTCTTGAATTTTTGTAGACCCCTTACCCACTTTTCAAGCCAGAACTAGACTAGGATTTTTCCTGGAGCTCTCTCTGTCCACACCAATAGATGTTTCCAGATTTCAGGCTGCATTGTATCCTTACCAGAGGATACTCGAGGAAAAAGAAATGTGCTAAATTCATCCTTGATTCAGTGGTACTTTGAATTCTAGTCTTGTTCTCCAATCCTCCTGCTACTGTTTACTTTTCAGAGTCCTAAATAGTTGCTCCTGGTTTTTATAGCTACCTTTAGTGGGAACAAAATGGAGTATGCTGACTCTGTCTTATCCAGAACAGAAATCCCTCTATAGATTTATTTAAATGAATAGAGAATGAAATCAGTGTTTTGTTTGGAGAAAAAAAAGTTTTCTGAACAAAATTTTGTTATATCCATTACCTCACATTTAACTTTCTAGCACAATCATAAAAAGGGTTGATTTTTAAAAAAATAAAATGTATACTTGAGCCCTGGCTAGTGTGTCTCAGCGGATTGAGCGCCAGCCTGCAAACCAAAGGGTTGCTGGTTCAATTCCTGGTCAGGACACAGGCCTGGGTTGCAGGCCAGGTCCCCAGAAGGGGATGCTTGAGAGGCAACCACACATTGATGTTTCCCTCCCTCTCTTTCTCCCTCCCTTCCCCTCTGTCTAAAAATAAATAAATAAAATCTTTTAAAAAATGTATACTTCAGCTTTGTTTTCCCAAAAGGTTTACACTCTTTCGATACTCAAATCATTCTCAAGTCCCTTTCGTGCCATCAGCTTTCATAATTCCGTCTTCTACCCTTCCACCATTGTTGTACACTAAGTGCACCAGATCCTCATTGTTGGTGACTTCTAACATGGTGCGAGCAGCACTCCATTATTTTCCTTGACTTTAGGAAATCCTGACTTTCATGACAGATTTGCTTATTCATGTTGTTGCTTTGCATTGTACTTTCAGCTGTCTGCATCAGACCATTAGGAAGGGTCAAAACCAAAAACAATTGACATGTATGGTAGGGATAAATGCTAGTGTTAAGTAGAGGATATTGTTTAGATGGAGAATAAATTTTCCTTCCAAATTTTTTTATTGTGGTGAAATACACATAACATAAAATTTACCGTTGTAACCATTTTGTGTACAGTTCTGTGGTATTAAATACATTCATAATGCTGTACAACCACCACCATCATCCATCTCCGTAACTCTTTTCTTCTTGTAAAACTGAAACTCTCTGCCCATTAAATGAGTCCCAACTTTTCCCCTCCTCCATAGCCCCTGGCAACCACCATTCCATTCTCTGTCTCTATGATTTTAACTACTTTTATGTACCTCATACAAATGGAATCATACAGTATTTTTTTTTTGTGAGTGGCTTATTTCACTTATCATAATGTCCTCAAGGTTCATCCATGTTGTAGCATGTGTCAGAATATCCTTCCTTTTTAAGGCTGAATAATATTCCATCACATGCAGATAAAGGAAAAAATTTATAAGTGCTCAGTTGTATATTTTTAAAATTATTTATTTATTTATTTATTATTAGAGAGAGAGGGAGAGAGAAACATCAATGTGAGAAGCATCGATCAGTTGCCTCTTCTACATGCCCCAGGCAGGGACCGAACCTGCAACCCAGGCATGCGCCCCGACTGGGGATCAGACTGGTGGCATTTTGTTTTGTGGGATGATGCCTAACCAACTGAGCCACACTGGTCAGGGCTGACTTGAATATTTTTAATATTACATCTTTTGCTTCCCTTTGTAGCTTCATGAATTTTGGAACTTGGATTATGACTTTTCTTTGTTTTTAAAAGATTTTAATTTATTTATTTGTAGAGAGAGGGGAAGGAAGGGAGAAAGAGAGGGAGAGAAACATCAATGTGTGGTTGTCTCTCATGCATCCCCTACTGGGGACCTGGCTGGCCTTCCACCCAGGCCTGTGCCCTGACTGGGAATCCAACTGGTGACCTTTTGGTCCACAGGCCGGCACTCAATCCACTGAACCACACTGGCCATGGCGGATTATGACTATTATTGATTACAAGGATCCCCTTTTTAATTTAAAAAAGAAAAACAAAAAAATAAAAGAGACTTTGCTCCTAATTTCATCCTAAATTGTTTACAATATTTCCTTGTTTTCTATATATGTATATTTTGATGTGGTAAGGTAGTCATCTCAGTGGAAAATTTTTTAATCTGCTTTTTTTTAACTTAATATTATGTCTTAAGCACTTTTAATTGTTGCTGTATCATTTTCATAAATATCACCTTTGTGGATTTATAAAAGAAAAGGGTAGGGCTTTATTAAATACAGTCATATATCAAATACTAAGTGAACCTCTATAGGCAAGGCCTCATGCTAGACACTAGGATATAAATGTAAAGAAATCATTCTTTGTCCTCATAGAACTTGAGGTTAAATTGGGAGACAGAAGCAAATAAATAAGCACAACAAAGAAAAAAACATAATAAAGGTTTCATAGAAAGGAAAGGTTTCATACAAGTTGTGCCCTTGAAGGAAGAGTAAATGTGAGTACACAGAACAGAATGGTACATTGAGGAAAGTATACATAATTTGTATTTCAGGGGATTGTGTCATAGACCTATACTCAGTGACAATGAATAGTTTATAAGACATATTGTTAAGTACAGAAAGCAGGTTAAAAAACACATGATATGGTTCCATTTATGTGAAAAAACATATTGGTATGCATACAGCAAAAGTTATGATAGGACATATGCCAAACTGGTAACATTGGTCACTTCTGGGGAGTGGAGTGGGTGCAGAGGTAAAGATATTAGGGAAGACTCTGTATAACTTGTATCTTTTAAAAGATTGTTTTCAATTATTATGTATTTATTGAACATACTAATTAAATAATAATAATAAATACATAAATAGTGAAACCTTGATACAATGGAATCATGTAGATATTCTCTAAGTAATTTGCAAACATTCTTTAGCCATGGAACCCTTTTTTCAAACAATTATATTAAGTCCAGATTTTTTAGAAAGCTGAATGGTATTGAAGAGGATTTTTAAATTACATTAGAAAAGGCTTGATAAGGAAAAGCCCCTTCTCAGTCAGCCCCATCCCCACAAAGGTAAACAGCATTTTTACTTCTGTTGCCATAGATTAGTTTTGCCTCTACTTGAACTTTATATGTACTGTTTTGTGTCTGTATTTCACTCAGTATGTATTGGAGATTTATCCGTATTGTTGCATGTATCAACACTTTGCTCTTTTTTAGTGCTATGTAGTATTCCATTGTATACATATACTATAATTTATCCATTCTTCTGTTGATATGCATTTGAGTTATTTCCAGTTTAGGGCTATTGTGAATAAAGCTGTTGTTAGCATCTTTGTTCACAACTTTTGGTGGACAAAGGTACACATTTCTTCCAAGTAAATTACTGAGGAGTAGGATTATTGTGCCATGTGGTAAATATTGTTTATAAGACACTGCCAAACTGTTTTCCAAACTATACCAATATATATCCCCCAGCAATTTCCTGAAATTCCAGTCACTCCATATCTCTACCAGTGCTTGATATTTATAATTTTTAATTTTAGCCAATCTGTGAATATATAGGAATGGCACATTGTGGTTTTGTATATGTTTAAGTGCTTTTGGTTTGAATGTTCATTCCTTTTGAGCAAATAATTTCACTTTTAGGACATTTTCCTCAGGACATAATCTGAAATCCAGAAAATCTTATATGATATGTTCTTTGCTGCATAATTTATCAAAGTCAATGTGAGAAATAACCTAAATGTCAGATATTAGGGAAGTAGTTACATAATTTATGATATATTTATAATGATAAAATATGCAACCATTGAAAATTATAATAAAAGGATACAAAATCGTACATAGAGTAAGGCATTAACTATAGAAAAATACATGTATTAAAATAGTCCAACTATATATTTCAACAAAAAAATTATTTTAAAAGATATTGGAAGGAGGAAACACATCAAAATAACTTTGGGTGGTGGTACTAGGTAGTTTCCCCCATCCTTATGTATTTTTCTAATGATCATATTTTTAAACTTAATTAAAACAATTTTCCAGATTTTATGTTCTATAATGCTTTCTCTTTATCTAATCTTTCCTGCAACATGAAAAATTACTCTCTTGGGTTTCTTTAAATATTTGATTTCTGCTACTGTTTTGACTCTCAAATTATAAATTGCATGAAAAAGATACTCTCGTGTTGTTTCTTCTTCTGAACATCTGATGTTGCAACATCCAGTCCAGGACGGAAGATAAAATAGAGCGATTCAAGAAAGCAGTTGAGTACTATTCAGTCACAACCAAACTCCCTTCGCTGCCAGTGGGTTCCTCCTCCTTTCTAGGTAAGGCTTCCATCTGACCGAGAGCTGCTCTGTCCATAGAGGAAACTGAGGTAGTCCCTCAGAAACTGCTGTACCAGAGTAGATCACCTGCTTGTATTGCATTCTCTTAGAAGTCATTCCTGTTTGATAGACATTCTCCTTTTGATTTCCATATAATAAGAGATGTTACATAAGACAGGGCCCTGATTTCTCAAATATTTAGGTGGGGTCTCATGCCATTTCCTTAGCTTGGGCTTCTTCTAATTCTAACCCCCCACTGTGGCCTAGTATATGTAAAATAGCACTATCTGTGGTGTCAGGCCTGAGTTTGGATTCCATCTGTGCTCTTTGCTAGCTGTGTGATCTTGGCAAGTCACATTTGTATGAAAGGTGACTCATGAAACCTATTTATAGGGTTGTTATCAGATGAAATAATTTATGTAAGATTCCCGGCATGACGCATAATAGCTGTTCAATAAGTTGTTATTTATTATTAATAATTTTTCAGGTGATATGGGGTTAGCAGAATGTAATGTGGTAGGATTATTAGGATTGACTAAAATATAGTTATTTCTCTTGGCTTCAGATTTTCATAATAATCGGATTGTAAATCCTCCCCTTCCACGAAGTCAAATGTGCACTATTTCTCCTGGGAAGCCAATGGTAAGTATCTCTTAAGAGGCCTGAGACCATTTGTTAGCATTATACACAGGCGGCTTCCTGATTTTTGTAATATGAGTTAAGGAATTAGGGTGATTCAATACTGTCAGAATGTAAAGACTGTATATACCTATACCACACTCTCAACTTGAGTCTAGTAGACTATGTAAACAATACATCAGAATCAGTAACCACAAATGAATTGTGAAGGTAGATTAACTAACATTGGGGAGTGGTTCTAGGAGACATGGATTTGTCCATTATCCTGCCTCTGGACAATTCTGCCCACACGTCACTGTTAGAATTACTTGTTATTCTCAGTAGGTTCTTTGTATCCCAATAATCCATGCTACTGGCGTTGTCTGCTTTGTCACAACTTTTGAGGGAACCATCTTGGAGCCTGGTAAAATGTTAAAGACCTTTTCTGTCTGTTTTATTCTTTAGTTTTCTCACCATGTGCCCCAGAAAATGAAATATCCACCACCATTCCCACTGGGACCCAACTCTTCTCTTCTCTTCTCCCCCCATGCTTTGGGGGAATCCCATGCTTTTTCTGAGGATCCTATGCTGCAGGACAGCCCCTTTGCCAATTGGGCTGTCTCTTACGACTCCTCACCACAGTTTCCCAATTACCTGACTTCCAAAGCCTCACCTCCTCTGGGACCAGACTCTTCCCACTCTTCTTCCTCTGATGGTGATGAGCCAAATGGAGTCAGTTCTGAGTAAGTATCTGTGTAGGCACCGAAGAGAACAGACTTCGGAAACATCTGTGTTCTTTTACTGCTAACCTGGACAGGGGTGTGGGGAAGTGTACATTCCTGGTTTTTCTCTGTGGCTCTTTGCTCTTAAGCAAAGTAAGAAAACCCTTTACTTGGTCACTTCATGCTCATGGTGACCCTAAACAGGTGTCAATTTTCAGATACCTAGGCCACGGAGGTAAAAGGCAGCATAGCAGCTGGTTAGGGAAGCCCCGGTATGGGTATGCTATATGTCATGGCTGTCATCCCTCAGTTTGTGAGGGGAGTAGATTGAATATAAAAAGATGAAAAGAATTTATAGAGCTGAAGTATTGGAACAGTTGAGTAGGCAGCTATATTCTGAGTAATAATTTATACAGGATTCTGAGGATTAGAATAGTGGGATTTCGTACTAGCTCATTTGTTCTTAGATTATTCCTCTAAGAAGATAATTTCTGGGAAACAGGGCTACTTTGAAGTTTCGATTGTAACTCTTTTCTTAAGCAGAACATAAGCAGACTCTAAACATGGTCTCTTACATGATGCAAAGGATTCAGCGTGGTTCCCACAACTTTTGACCACTTTGGTTTGTGTCGGATGAAAGAAGCCAGGAGGGTGATGATGACCACTGAGTGGAAAGACGTCAGGTCCATTGCTAACCCGTTGTCCTCATTTCCAGAGGGACTGTGAGAGTACTTGAGATCAGAACAGACACCTTGAGCTGGAATATTTTTATCAACCTTCCTTCTCTTATCTACATTGTCTTTCTAAATTTTTTAGTCACTTCACAGAAACGTTTCAGCAGCATCCTAGGTGGGAGGATCCAAATGGTGACAGAAGGTCCTGGGTACAGCCCATTGTTGCTGGAGTTTCAGATGCTACCCTCAGTGATGGTGAGCCCCACATCCCATCTCTGCTTTCTATGTCTACAAGGAACCACATGGACATCACCATTCCGCCCTTACCTCCAGTAGCCCCAGAAGTCTTGCGGGTTGCTGAACACAGACACCGAAGAGGTCTGATGTACCCGTATATCTACCATGTCCTCACTAAGGTAAGAGGAAGCTCCTCAGTGCCTCCCTTCTTCCCTGCTCTTGACAGGGTACTTCACATTTCCTAAAACTGTAAGTTACCCGAGAAAATTCTGCTTACTGGTATCTGAAGGGAGATAAAAGGAGACTAACTGTGCTGGGGCCTCTCATTGTATTAAGGGTCTTAGGTGAGGTGAAACCAGCAGGAGATGTGACTGTGCAGTAAATGAGGCCCCAAGAAGAGGTGTAAGTGTGAGATTTCAAAGAATATAATACACCAACTTGGTAGATTGTGGTCTAGGGTTGGACACAATATAAGAAGAGGCTTTATGCCCTTGATCTTTGCCTCTTCCTCTGTTTCTCCAGAGCTGTTCCCCTCCACCAGTCTTACCATACAAATCCGTCCCCCAGCAAAATGTCTAAGATGGACTTTCCCCATTTAGTCAGCTAATCAGTCGTCGCAGAGACTTGAAAAATGGAACATAGCTTTTAAGCTGGCTATGGTCAGCTGGGTTTGTTGTGGCTTCCTTTTAGTCTGAAACATTATTTGAATATGTGTAGAAATTTTAGTGGCTAGGCTACAGTTCTTTACTGGTCCTTCTCAATTCAATGTCAAACCTTGAGGTAACTCATTTTTTCCTTTCCCCTGGATTGTTTTCTTGTTAGGGTGAGATTAAGATCCCTGTATGTATTGAGGATGAGTGTAACATGGAGCTGCCTCCAGCTGCTCTACTGTTCCGGTCAGCTCGTCAGTATGTATATGGGGTCCTTTTCAGTCTGGCAGAGACACAGCGGAAAGTAGAACGCCTGGCCATACGGCGACGGCTACCTGTGGAAGGTAAATATGGTTCTCGCTTTCACAGAGTTCTCAGAGTTTGATGCAGAGCAAAAATGTCTGTGCAAGCTCATTATACTTTCAGCTATAGAGCAGTCTGAGAAAATGTATAATTCACTAGGATACTAACTGGTATGGGGAATGCATTAACTTAACCTCGAATTCTTTAACCATTAAACATTCAGAATAACTACTACTTATAAGAACCATGCTGGACGTTGGGAGTGTAGGGGTGTCTCTGACACAGTCTCTCCTCAGTGAGGTTTTTGTTTTGGACTTGATCCTGTAGATAATTAGAGCCATTGTTTTAAGCTATAGAGTCATGTGGTCAAATTAGTGTGTTCAAAAGAACCTTCTAGATTTCTGCTTCTGGGAAGAGGGAATACATACCTTTCCTTAATCCTCCGCCAAATACAACTAAAAGCCTAAGATACTATATATGAAATAAGGACTAGGCACTCCAGAAGGTGAAGAGAAAAAGGCAGACTGGCTGAAGGCCTTGGGTTTACTTTGCCTCATATATCCAAGACAGGGTGTGGGAGAAGCTGGCATCCCAGAAATGCTAACAGGTGCAGACCAGTGAAAACCCCAAGAAAAGTCTACTTTCTCTAGTCAAATTACCTTAAAGGAACAACCTAGCAATGCATCAAATTTTGAGATAATGATCACTATATTTCAGCCAAACACCAGAGCAAAACTAGAGCCCGTCCCTACCCCAACCAGCAAAGACTTAAGAGTCTAAACAACTACTTGTGCCAGGCTGTAATAAGGTGGGGAGCCAGGACTTCCAATCTCACTTGAAAGGAGGCAGCATCCCCCTTCGACCACCAGAGTGGTGTCAGAAAAGACCTGCTAAAACACAGTGTTTAATACCCAAAATGTCTATGTTTCAGTTGAAAAATCCCTCATCATACCAAGAACCAGAAAGACTTCAAAATTCGATCTTAAGACCGAGAGAAAATCGATGGACACCAACATTGAGATGACACAGATGTTTGAATTACCTGACAAGGATTTCAAACCAGCCATCATAAAAATGCTTTGACAATTGTGAACATGGTTATTACAGATTAAAAATAGAAAGTCTTGGCAAAGAAATACAAGATATAAAAAGTGAATGGAAATTAAGAACTAAAAATTACAATAATTGAAATACTCCATAGATGGGTTAAACAACAGATTAGAGATATCAGGAAATATTCAGCGGACTTGGAAATAGAACAATAGAAATTCCCCAAACAGAAAATAGACTGAAAAAATGAATAGGAACTATTGGAACTTTGTCAAAAGATCTAGTATTTGTGTCATCGGTGTCCCAGAAGAGGAGGAGAAAGTAGATAGGACTGTAAAAGTATTCAAAGAAATAATGACTGAAATATCCCCAATTGTGGCAAAAAAAAAAAAAAGGCCCAGAGATTTAAGAAGTTAAGTGATTTTTAAACAATAAAAACCACAAAGAAAGTCTTGCCAAGATATATTATGGTCAAACCTTTGAGAGCTAAAGAAAAATTATTGAAAGTAGTCAGAGAGAAACAATGCTTTACCCATAGGGGAAAGTAACAGGAGTAACAGCTGATCTCTCATCAGAAACTGCAGTGTCCAGAAGAAAATAGCGGAAAAAAAAGAGCTGTCAACTCAGAACTCTACTGTATTTTGCTGTGTATAATATGCTCCCACATATAATGTTCACCATGTTTTAGTGCTGATTCCCATGTATAATTCACATTGTACGATTCACATTATACATGGGAATTAGTACTACCCATGTATAATGCACATCCTTATATTTCCATCAAAAATTTGGGCAAAAAAGTGTGGATTATACACAGCAAAATGTGGTGTATCAAACAAAAATACCCTTAAGGAATACAGGGGAAATCAAAACACTATCAAGTGAAGGAAAACTAAGATATTTTTTCACAGCAGACTTCCCTTAATGACTAAATGTAGTTTTCCACACAGAAAGGAATGATAAAAAAGGAATCTTAGGACATCACAAGAAAGAAAAAACAATGGAAAGACAAAAATACGGATTAATCCAATAGATTTTCCTTCTCAAGTTTTCTAAGTTATGTTTTATAGTTGAAGCAAAAACTAGAACAAAAATTTTAATGTGGTTCTCAATGTCTGTAGACAAAATGTTTAAGACAATTACATATGGAAGGGAGTAAAGGGATGTAACAGAGGTCAGGTTTCCACACTTCAGTTGAACTAGTAAAGTGTCATCACTAGTAGGCTGTGATAAATTATATATTCGTGTGTGTGTGTGTGTGTGTGTGTGTAGTGCAGTACTGAGAAAATGCACTGAAAAATCTATGCAGAGAGATTCACTCAAAGCACTATAGATAAATCAAAATGGAATTCTAAAATAAGTTCAAGTAATGAATAGGAATGGGGGGATCAGAAAGTAGAGAGATGAAAAACAGAACAAATAGAAAAAAATAAAATGACAAGACTTAATCCCTAACTTATCAGTAATTATATTAAATATAAATACTCTAACTACACCAATTAAAATACAGAGATAGATATGCTGGATAAAAAACATGACCCAACTATATGCTGTTTACAAAAAAGTCACTGCAAATATAAATGATATAGGTGGGTTGAGAACAAGAGTGGAAAATGATATATCATGAAAACATTAGTCAAAAGAAATCAGGAATGGTTGTATTAATACCATAGAAAGTAGACTTAAGAGCAAACAAAATTACCAGGGAAAGAGAGGTACATTATGTAATGGTAAAAGGGTCATTCCATGAAGAAAACATAACAGTCCTAAATGTGTATCACCAAACAACAGAGCCACAAAATTTGTGATGCAACAACTGATGAAACTTATGTGAGAAATAGACAAATCCACAAGTATAACTGGAGACTTCAACTCCGCTCTCAATCACAAGTAAAACAACTAGACAAAATCAGCAACAATATAGAACTCAGCAACACCATCGACAAATAGGATATAATTGACTCTTATAGAACACTCAACAAGAGCACAACACATGTTCTTTTCACACGCCCATAATATGTATGCCATGATAGAGCATATCCTCGTCCATAAAACAAATCTCAGTAAATTTCAAATAATTGAAACCATACAGGGTATATTCTCAGACCACTATGGAATCAAACTAGAAATCAACAGAAAGATAACTGGCAAACCTACAAATACTTGGAAAATAACAAAGCACTTCTATGTATAATCTGAAGGAAAAGAAAGAAATACATGGAACTAAATGAAAATAGAAATAGAGCATATTAAAAGTTGTGAGGTGGAAGTAAATAATTGCTGAGAGGGAAATTTATAGCACTAAATCTTCACGTTTTGAAAAAGAGGGAAAGCACTAAATGTTCATGTTAGAAAAAGAGGAGAAAACTAAACCTGCAGCAAACCAAAAGAAAGAAACAGTAAAGATAAGAGCAGAAATCAATGAAATTGATACACCAAAACAAGATAATTTTAACAGAAACTTGGTTCTTTGAAAAGAACAATAAAATTGACGAACTTCTAGCAAGACTACAAAGAGAAAAATAAAGAAGATACAAATTGGTAATATCAAGATGTGCTATCACCACATGGGAGTGCTATAAACAACTCTGATACATAAATTTGACAATTTAGACACAATGGACCAATTTCTCAAAATATATAAACTAACACATCTCACCTAATATGAAACAGATAATTTGAATAACCCTATAAATATTAATGAAATTTGATTTGAACTTCTTAATTGCTTTCACTAGAGAATTCTCTCAAATGTTTAACAAAGAATTAATGTCAATTCTACACATTCTTTTTCAGAAACTAGGAGAGGGCACTTCCCAACTCATTCTATGGAGCCTGTATGACCCTGATACTAAAATCGTATCAAGACAGTACCTTAAAACAACACTTTAACCTGACCAATATAGATGTAAAAAATATGAACAAAATATTAGTCAGTAGAATTCAGCAGTTTATTAATAGAATGGCCAAGTAGGATTTATTCTGTGGTTGCAAGGCTGGTTCAGTATTTGAAAATCAGTGTAACCCACCATATAAACAGGCTAAAGAATAAAAATACTATGATCATCTCAATGGATTCAGAAAAATATCTGACAAAATTTGACAACTATTCATGATTTAAAAAAAAAAAAAACCTCAGGAAACTAGGAATAGAGGAAAATTTCTTCAACTTGATAGAGAACACCTACAACACCCTACAGCTAACATTATACTTAATGGTGAAAGACTGAATATTTTTTTTTCCTAAAATCAGGAACAAGAAAAAGATGTCCACCCTAACCACTGCTTTTCAACATAGTACTGGAAATTCTAGCCAGCATAGAAAGGCATGAAAATGAAACAGAAGGCATATAAATCAGAAAGGAAGAATTAAAGCTATCCCTCGTTGCAGATGACAATATAGTCTATGTAGAAAATCACAAGGAATCTATAACAAAACTTCTAGAATTGATATATGAGTTCATCAAGGTTGTAGAATATAAAATAAACATAGAGAAATTAATTGTATTTCTGTATACTAACAATGAATATGTGTAACTGACAAAAAATGCAATACCATTTATAATCCCTCCAAAGAAAACGAAATACTTAGGCATATATTTAACAAAGGGTGTTGAGGATCTATATGCTGAGAATTACAAAATGCTGATAAAAGAAGTCAGTGGAGAGACATAGATGCCCATGAATTGGAAGACTCAACATAATAAAGATGTTAATTTTTCCCAAATTACTATACAGGTTTAACACAATTCATATCCAAATATGAGCAGAATTCTTTGTAGATATAGACAAGAATATTCTAATATTTATATGGAATGATAAAGGAACTAGAATAGCTAAAAACATTTATGAAAGAGAATAATAAATTGGGAGCAGTCACTCTACCTGATTATGACTTATTGTGTAGCTACAATAATTAAGGCTGTGTGGGAGGGGCAGGTATGTGCTGGATAAGAGACAGAGGGAAGCAAGTCTAGAGCTTTGCGTGTTTTTTTCTGCCTGTGGTGTCTGATTCATTCTTAAGGAATTGAGAGCTTAATCTTCCAAAATGTCAAAAAGACCATCTTATGCCCCACCTCCCATCCCAGTTCCTATAACACAAATGCCCAGCACAGCAGGGTTTATGGGATATAATCCATACAGTCATCTTGCCTGCAACAACTGCAGTCTGGGAGGAAACCTGAGTACCAACAGCTGGCTCACAGCATCCTTGGGTATTACAATTGCAAAAGCCCCAAAGCCACCAGATAAGCAGATAGGTCTGGGACCAAGTAAAGCCTTCCAATCCTGACCTACAGTTTTGAGAGATTAGCAATATTATTGGTGGCATGTGGTGAGATTTTACCAATAAAGAAAAACAAGAATTTTAAATGAATTTGAAGCAGAAAAAGAGAGAGTATAATGAACCTATGAAAGCCTACCATAATTCCCCCATATACCTTGCAAACATAAATGCAAAGTGTCACGCAGAAGCTGTTTTAGAAGAAGAAAGTCGACAGGCTGTCTCACATGGAGAAAGGAGAACCTTACACAAACATTCAGCCTGCTGAAGATCCAGATGATTATGATGATGGATTTTCAGTGATGCATATAGCCACTGCCCATTTCCAGAGAAACCACTACCTCATCAGTGAAGTTCTTAGAGAGAGTGTGTTGCCAGACATTCAGTCAGTGTCATAACACCTAGAATGCAAGTTCTCAAACAACAGGTCAAGTCCTCAATGGTATGTCAGCAAAAACTGGAAGCTGAACTTCTTCAAATAGAGGAGCAATGCCAGGAAAAGAAGAGGAAATTCCTGGGGAGCACAAATTCGTTTAATGATGAACTTAAAAGGTTGTGTGGTTTGAAAGGAGAAGTGGATATGGAAAAACTTGCAGCTGAAATGGAACAGGCTTGCAAAGGCAGTAGGAATGGGAGAAGGAAGCAGCAGAGCAGGCTGAATGCAGTCAGAGCAGTATTGTCCCTGAGGAATAATGAGCAGCTACTAAGACCAAAGAAAACGAAGAAGACAATAGCATTCTCAGTGGAGACCTTGAAGAAACAACAGAAAGCCAACAGAATGGTGAAAAAGGCACATTTGCTCCTGAGGACAAGGAGAGCAGACAAGAGAGAGTGGACAGTATGGCAGAGGAAGGGACTAGTGATAGTAACACTGGCCCAGAGTGGAAGAATGGAGGACAGATCAACAGATCCCATACTAGAAGATGAGAAAAAAGAATATGTGTTGCCTTGATTTATGTATTCTAAATACTTTTTTAAATGAAAAAATGTTTTTGAGTTGAAAGAAAAGGACTGGTATGGGCAGTGACATAGATACATAGATAAATAGAACAGAATAAGAACCCAGAAATAGCCCCATGCAAGTATAGCCAACTGATTTTTAACAAAGCTACAAAAGCACTTTATTGGAGGAATATAATCTTTTTAACAAATGGTACTGGATCAATTGGATATCCATAGATGAACAAGTACCACATATCACAGGGGTCCCTAACCCTCAGGCCATGGGCCCCTACCAGTCGTGGCCTGTTAGAAACCAGGCACACAGCAGGAGATCAGCGGTGGTCCAGTGAGGGAAGCTTCCCTCACATTACCGCCTGAGCTCCCCCTTCTGTCTCCAACGCTCCCTCCCACCGCCCCCCCGCCATGGAAAAAATGTCTTCCATGAAACTGGTCCCTGGTACCAAAAAGTTTGGGGACTGCTGATCTAGACTAGTATCTAAAATATATAGAGAACTCTCAAAACAGAACATTATAAAAACAATCTGGTTAGAAAATCAGCAAGACCTGCACTGACATTTTACTGAAGGGGATACGCATATGACAAGTAAAATATGAAAAGATGTTCATTGTTACCCATTAGAGAAATGCAAATTAAAACAACAATGAAGTATTACTGCATACTTATCAGAATGGCTAAACTGAAAAATGGTGGTAATACCACATACTGGAATAGATGTGGAGAAACTGATCATTTGTAAATTGCTGGTCTGAATGTAAAATGATACCGCCACTCTGGAAAGTAATTTCCTTTCAAAACTAAAAGTGAACTTATCATACAACCCATCACTTACACTTTTGGGTATTTATCCCAGAGAAACGAAGACTTCTTTTCACTCAGGAACTTGTATACAAAGTGCAATATAAAGTACAATAGCAGCTTTATTCATAATACCTCCAACTGGAAACAACCCAGATAACCTTCAAAAGATGAATGATTAAACTTTGGTACATCCATACCATAGAATACTATTTGGCAAAAAAGGAATGAACTATTGATACATGCAACAGCATGGATAGACCTCAAGGGAATTATGCTGGGTGAAAATGCCAATGTCAAAAGATTGAATTCTGTATGATTCCAATTATAAAACATTCTCAAATTGACAAAATGATAGAATTGGAGAACAGATTAGTGATTGCTGAGGACTGGGTATGGTGCTGGAGGACACCAGCTGTAACCATAAAAGAGGTAACATAAGGGAGATATTTGTGGTGATGAAATAGCTCTATATCTTGATTGTGGTGGTTGTTACACAAATCTATGCAGAACTATATACCCAGTTATGCCAATGTCAACTTTCTAGCTTTGATATTTTACAATAATTATTTTAGATATAAGCATTGGGGGAAACTGGCTAAGGAGTACACAGGGACCTCTCTCTGTTGTCTTTGTGACTCCCTGTGAATGTATAATTTTTTCAAATTAAAAGATTAAAAAAAAACACTCTAGTAGTTGTGGAGCATGGTTGTGAGGAGGACCAGGCAGGATTAAGTTAAGGCAGGGACAAGAGTCTAGAGACTTATCATGTGAAAGATTATGAGTTGTACATCTCTACAATGTTCGTCATGATGAAGGAAAGGGAATAGATATAAGAAATGATAAAGTAATAGCCCTGGCTGGTGTGGCTCAGTGGATTGAACACTGGCCTGTGAACCAAAGGGTCACCAGTTTGCTTCCTAGTCAGGGCACATGCCTGGGTTGTGGGCCAGGTCCCCAGTAGGGGGTGTGTGAGAGGCAGCCACACATTGATGTTTCTCTCGCTCTTTGTCCCTCCCTTCCCCTCTGTCTAAAAAATAGATAAATAAAATCTTTTAAAAAATTATTTAACAAAAGAGAAATGATAAGGTAATAGAATGAACAGGAATTTGGGAATAACTGGATATGTAGGAGATAAAGGAGAGTAGGGACTCTAGGATGACTTAAGGTTTCTAGCTTGTGTAACTGAGTAAATGCCAAATGTCTTAAGTAATAGAGACCATAGCTTAGGAGCTTGCAGTGTACTAGAAATAGACAGAAACCATGTTTTCCTCATCTGTTACACCTTTGTAAATTTACAAGAGATTGGCTTTTTGAGAATTTTGTGAAATTCTTCTAAATTATTTTGGGGTATTCTATAGTCCAAAGCCAGGTAGTCACATAATTCTCGACTTCTTCCCTGGATTAGGCTGGTACATCTACTTAAATGAGTTTCAGAGTAATTAAGAACTGTGTGACATTGAGTATTGATTTCTTCATCTGCAAAATGAGCATTTCGTTTTGTGATGATATAGTCATAATACTTCTTTCTCAGGATTGTTCTGAGGAGTAAATGAGATTTGATTTACATTTATATGTGAAGCACTTAACACATGTCAAGCATATAATAAATGCTTACTACTCCTGCTAACAATAAAAATTATAGCAACAAAAATAAAAAGATGTCAAAATGTGATGGGTCCTGTCCCTTGTGGCCAGCTGTAGAAATGCTCAGAGGTTCGCTAGAGCCTGTTTTTCTTCAATTTCTGTTTTCCAGTTCCTTCAGTGATCCTTAAAGAGTGGTCTGCCTATAAAGGGAAGTCACCTCAAACACCTGAGCTGGTGCCTGCGCTGACGTTTCGGGAATGGACTTGCCCAAACCTCAAGAAGCTCTGGCTAGGCAAAGCAGTTGAGGACAAGAACAGACGGATGAGGGCTTTCCTGGCCTGTATGAAGTCAGATACACCCAGTATGCTCAATCCAGCTAATGTCCCCACCCATCTGCTGCTCATGTGCTGCGTACTCCGGTAAGCCATGTGACAGGGAGGTGGCCAGTTCATTTCTCTTACTTTTTGGACATTTCCTTTAATCAACTGTTTTCATGGTGTTCTGGGGTGGGAAGGTGTTTTTGTTTTGAAGCTTAGACTTCAGAAACTTTGAAATTGATTGCTGTGATAGTCTCCTCAGTTAATGATCTTTGTCATCATCAGTTCATGTATGACCTCCCTTTTATATTTGGTTTTATATTTGGTTTTTGTTCCTTTTAGTCTTTATTCCTCATCCAGTTCCCTTTTTGCTCTCTATCCATAGTTATGCACTCTGGGGTATTTGATGTGTGTCCTTCCAAGCCATCTTCCATGTATTTATTTAGACACTATCCATGCACAGTCTATAGTATCATTAATATGTATATTTTTTTCCTTTTTTACATGAAAGATATTGTGCTATACATTTCATTTTATTTTTTACTTTTTTCAATGTTATTTTTGTGATCGATCCATATTCATGTATGGTTCATTTCTCCAGACTGCTAGATTATGTTGCATCAAATACTGGTATCAGTACATTTGAGCCTTGAACAACATGAGTTTGAACTATGCAGGTCTGCTTATATGCTGATTTTTTTTCAATAAATACTATAAATATATTTTTTTCTTCCTTATGATTTTCTTAATAGCATTTTCTTTTCTCTAGGTCACTTTATTGGAAGAATATACAAAATATGTGTAATAGACTGTTCATGTGATCAGTAAGGCTTCTGATCAATAGTAGGCTATCAGTCATTAAATTTTTGAGAAGTCAAAAGTTATACACAGAAATTGACTTGCAGGTGGTCAAAGCCGCTAACTCCTGTGTTGTTTAAGGTTCAACTGTATTTTATTTGTCAATTGATAGTTATTTCTAGTTCTTCAATATTACAAACTGTGCTGCAGGAAATACCTTCATAGATGTCTCTCTTTGTGCTCCTGTGTCAGTTTACCTGAACTGTGTTCTCCAAGTAGAATTCCTGGATCCTATAAAATATGCAAATAGGTTTTTCACCAAATACTGACAAATTGCTCTAGATTATACCTGTTCTAATTTATAGTCCTGTGAACAACTACATAAGGATTTTTATTTCTTCATATTATTACCAGTACTGATCTCCTATAACTTAATTTTTGCCAATCCAGGAGGCTTCAAGTAGTACCTTTTTATGCATTTCTTTGACTACAGATGAGGTTGAGCTTCTATTTTATACATGTAGCCATTTGTTTTCTCATTCTTTGAGGTGCTTATTTATTTACCTTGCAGATTTTCTTTTAAGTTACTTGCCTTTCTTGCTGATTACAGAATTTTTTTGTCAGGTATATGTGTATATAAACACACATATATAACAAATATCTTTTCTATATCTGTGTGTCTCAAATATCTTTTCTAACAAGTCACAAACTTTTAAAACTTAATGTACAATAAAATTTGAACAAAAGTATTAAATTTTCACCAACCTTTTATTATTTCATACATATACAAAATCTGGAAGACTAGTATTGTAAACACCTGTATGCCCATACAATTAATACTTTAATATACTTACTTTATTCCATATTACCATCCATTACTAGATATCCATTTATCCATCCATTCTGATGCATTTCCAAGTGAATTGCAGATGTCAGTATACTTCACCCCTCACCAAAAAGTATTTTTTAAAAGATTTTATTTATTTACTTTTAGACAGAGGGAAAGAGGGGGAGAAAGGGGAAGTAAACATCAATGTGTGGCTGCCTCTCGCATGCTCTGTGTCAGGGACCTGGCCTGCAACCCAGGCATGTACCCTGACTGGGAATGGAACCGGCCACCCTTTGGTTCGCAGTCTGGCACTCAGCCCACTGAGCCACACCAGCCAGGGCCCCTAACCAAAAAGTATTTAATCTTGGTTTGTCGAGCCCATCAAATTGTACCTTTATGATGTATACTTTTGGGATCTTACTCAATAAATTCTTCCCTACGCCTGGATCATAAATTTTTTTTTTACATTTTTGTATAGTTTAATGTTGCCTTCCATGTCAGGTCTTTAAATATAGTGGTTATTTATTCTGTATATGCTGTAAGAAAGGATCTAATTTTATTTTCTCTACAAAATAAGCCAATTTTTCCAACTCCATTAACTAAGTGATCTCTTCTTTCCCCACTGATATATATAACCACCTTTGATATGTACCAAGTTCCTGGATGTACATGAGTGTTTTCCTGGATTCTGTTTTGTTCCATTGCCTATTGGATCCCTCTCCAGGACCATATTGCTTCAATTATTAAGGGTTTATAGTTTGCCTTAATATCAGGTAGGAGAAATCTCCACTCTTTGCTTTTCATGTTCCATACTTGTAGCTATTCCTGAACCACATGAACCTTTATTCTTCCAAATATAATTTAGAATTAGTCCACCTTCCACAGAAATCTTGTTGGGTTTTTTTCCAATGATGAACTGAATTTGTAGATTAATTTGGAGCATCGATATCTTTATAATGTTAAGTCTTCACATCCAAGGATGATAGTTTACCTCTCTCTTTATTCAGGTCTGTTCCTTTATCTCTTAGGAAATTTTTTCCATAGAGGTCTGCTGTGTTTTAAATTAATTCCTAGGTAGTTGATATATATTATTGCAATTATGGATGGTATTCTGTTTTCTATTGTATTTTCTCATTATTTATTTGCTGGTAGACAGGAAGTAAGTTTTTATGCAAAGAAGTCGGTCCCTACAAGTCACCAGAGGGTTAGAGAACATTGAGGCTGTGAAACTGGACCTTATAAGAAATACTAAATGAAGTATTATTTTTTAATCAGTTAACCCTCAGGCTTATGTAGCCAAGAAGACAGGCTCCTTCTCCTCCCAGCTCCCATTCTTGGGTTATGGTTTCATCCTGGGAAGGGAATACTGCCATTTCTTATTAACCCCAGCTCTACGTCCAGTAGGCATGGTAAAGAGAATCATCCACCCAGCTTACATTCAGGACAGAAGCTCTAAAACAGGGATCTTGTGTCAAGAATACTTGGGGTCTCAATCATCCACACCCTGGCAGATGTATAGGATGGAGTTTCCACACCTGAGAAGATCAAACCAGAAATACCAGGGGCTGCCAACTTCCCCCTATTGCTAATGCCTGCTTGTAGAGCAGAAGCATCACTCTGGGAAAAGCAGCTTATGTTCTGGTGCAGTGAGCAGTAGTCACTCTTAGCGGGGAAAGCAGGCTGCAAGAAGGAGGAGCTCCACATGTCTGCCTGAAGGAACTGTCTTTTTTGGAACAGGGCATGGAGAATTCCTTGCCCAAGAGCTTGTCAAGAACAATAGGGATCTTGATGGTAAGCAATTAAAAGGAGGCCAATAGCACCATGATACAAGCAAAATGGCAGAGCATCCAGAAGTCTTATGTAGAGAGCAAGGGAAAGAAACAGTCAAGAACCCTCCTGGGATAACAGTCAACTCTAGATGGGGGGGGTAAGGAAGGGTGTGTGCATGCACTAGATGGCACACACTCAGGAACAACCAGGACAAGACTTGTGGCAGACTTCGAATCATTCCCTAAACTACACAAAGACTCATCAACACAGGGCAGATACGTCACTGGCACAAAGGGACTGAAGTACCACCATTGACCAAACGTTAACTGAAAAATAACCTTCTCTGACCTACAGGCAACTCCGAGGAATCAAGGCTTAAAACTAAAATGAAACTCATCACTGCCCATCAGGAAGACAGAGACTACCCAAAGCCATGACTTCTCAGTAATAGTCAGAGAAGGAACCTCCAAACTATTAGTCCCTCACCAAATGTGGGTCAAAAACATATAAACTCCTGGAACTATGATAGCCTTACTTCATACATATGTTTGAGGTAAAAATCGAACTACCTCAGAGGACTTAAGCATATTCTTTGATGAGTTAGTGACATATGCAGACTCAGGGATGACATTAAAAGATTTTATTTATTTACTTTTAGAGAAGAAGGGAGGGAGAAAGAGAGGGAGAGAAACATCAATGTGCAAGAGATACTTCGATCAGTTGCCTCACACACCCTCAAATGGAGACCTGGCCCACAACCCAGGCATGTGCCTTGACTAGAAATTGAACCGATGACCTTTTGGTTTGTAGGCCAGCACTCAGTCCACTGAGCTACCAGCCAGGGCTCAGGGGTGATATTTAAAAGATAAAAAACAAGGAGGAAAACTCTCAGTAAAGAGATCAGAGGCTACACCCTGCATATGAAATAGACTTCACAGAATTAGTGCGACCAAGTCACTATAAATAAGTAAGAAAACAACGAAGCAAACAACATCAACCAGCCCTGGTCTGGAGGGTAGGGTCAGTATCCATTGTTGTTATAATATATTACCTAACTCTCCATAACTGTTTTGTAACTGCCAACTTGTACCAGTGTTTTGAACTCTGCATCTGGTAGATTGCTTCCATCCATTTTGGTTATCAGTGTTTCTGGAATTTTGGTTAGCAGTTTTCAACAAAAACGTCCAAGACATTCTAAGAAACATGAAAGTGTGACCCATATACAATGAATAAAGTAGACTTTTGAAGAAGCCTAGATGGTAAACTTAGCAGACAAAATCATCAAAGCAGTTATTTTAAATATGTCCAAAGAAATAAGTGAAACTGTGCATAAAGAATTAAAGGAAGACATGATGACAGTGTCTCCTCAAAGAGAGAATATCATTAAAGAGAAAGTATTAAAAAGAACCAAGTGATATTCTGGAGTTCAAAAGTACAGTAAACCAATAAGAAAATTTTATTAGAGTGGATCAACAACAGACTTAAGCTGGCAGAAGAAAGAAGCACTAAGTTTGAAGACAGGTTAATAGAGATTATGTGATCTGAAGACCAGAGAGATAAAAGAATAAAGGAAACTGAACAGAGCCTCAGAGAAATTAATGGCATCATTAAGTGCACCAATATACATGTAATGGGAGTACCAAAAGGAGAGGAGAGAGAAAAAGGGAGAGAAAAAACATTCCAGAAAAAATGATTGAAAACTTCC